CATTCCCAATGTGCCGTGTGACAGATGCCCTCATTGCAGAGAGTTGAACTTCGCCTTCTCAAGAGCAGCGTGGCACTTGGGAGCTCAGCAGAGGGGCAGGGCTCATTAGGGAGAGTTGCCTTGCCATTTGGGTCCAATGACGGGTATCTATTTGCCAAGACACGCCATGCATCAGCGCTGATTACCATCTCACCCTTGCAAAGACCTCTTGCTTGGCAGGATGTCCGGTTAGGGTCATCACCTTGATTTATTTGTGAAACTAAATTACTTTTGACAGCCTTGGAAACACAACATTCGTGCAGACGAGCAGCCACAATGCTAGGTGTATAACTATTGCCGTAATTTTCCTTCAAGGCGTAAACAAAAACGTGATTATGAGAGCCGCGAGAGTGATTGGTAATTTCAGATGGGGTCTTGCGTCGCACTCTCTTGTTACAAAAGTGTTTACGACCTTAGAGGCTGACACACTGCAACGAGATTATAACCAAAATGATCATCAATTGCCACGGTGAATCTACTGCTGGATGAAGGCCTTCCCATGCTACCCATCACCTCTCGCAACCGCGAGCTGTAACAATCCACCTTACACCGGCACACGAGCCAAATCTCATCGCTCCATCTCCCTGGCGGACGTGTTCAATTCTTTAGGACGCCATTTCGTTCGTCATTGTTCTCGACCATCTCTTCTCGCGACGTTTCCCACCCAAGCTGTATCTCGATGTAATTCCAAGCATGCAACTTTTTGTGTTTTTTTGCGTACAACCAGTATAAAGCTTATGAAACATTGATGTCCAAATAAAGTATATAACTACAGAATGTGTTTTCTAAAATTTTTGTTAAGCACGAACACTTAATATTCGTGTCTACACATATTGCACAGTCGAAGTCTATGCTCCCATAATAATGTCACTTATTTACATGAAATGATACAGACAATAAATATAAAACATTTTTTCAGACATTGGAATTTCGGGCCCAATTTCATCTCAAGTAGCACGGTGGGCGACATACGGTGCGAAAAACTTTAAATATACATACATTGTAAATTAAATTAATGTAATAATTATAATAGTTATAAACATCAATCGTCGATAATAGAGGTTTTTGGGTTAATACGCGTAAATTTACACGATTTAACCCAAAAACCTCTATTATGGATGATTTAGTTATGAAAACCTACGTGTTAAACTGATCAATCACTGAATATTTTTTTTTACGTAAAGTTTTAAAAGTAATAACATATTTTTACGTCATTTAAAAACATGTAATTCCATAGTTTAAGCAAAAGGGACATCAAATGATGGCACTTTTGTTAATTATAGGAAGCGAAGTCACAATCCTCCAACGTGAAGTTTTCGGATCAATCCGAATACATTTTTTTTTTGATCATCCAAAAAATCTTGCCCGATTTTTTCCCCTCATCCCTAAAGGCGCCACGGTGGCGAGATGTTAACTACCTTGCCTGGTATACAGGAGTTCGTTTGGATTGGGATCGAACCTCGTGGTACAGAGGAGTTTCTCCCCGTGGTCGTGTCGATTTTTCTCCAAGTCTTCCAGTTGTTTTCCTCCACATTTAGAATCGTGCGTTTAAAGTATTTGACTGTTCTAAATTCCCACGTGATAAGCCACTGCGTTGAGCTATCATTTGTGGCCAGGTAGATTCTCAGTGGGCCTTGCCTGTTTAAAATGAAAATAGCAGTAATAGCTACTAACCAATCCTGCCAGCTTAAAACATCACTCAACGATGTCACACAAAAAAATAAGAATTACATTTTAATCCTGTAAATAGAATAGCCATTTTTGTTTCGTAAAACGTGCAGTTTCTTTTTATTTTATTTTGTGATATACAGTAAGGTCTTATCATGTGACTAATTTGGCTTGGGCATGCCCACCAATCAATCCACTCGTACTTGTGAATGTGTTGTGATTACACGAACACGTTCCCCCCCCCCGCCCCCACAATTTGGAGACTCGGTAAATCTTCATCAGCTTGTGCTTCGAACGAAGCAATCGAAGGGACTGCCTTTGCCCCATGTTCAGAAGATTTCCATTACACACTGCGTATGCTTATTGTGCAGTGCTTGAAGGCATATTTTTGGTTACCATTAAAGACTCGATCCGCCCCACCGCATCTGGCTAACGTGCATAGGTTGTAGGTTTTTTTTTCTCTCTGCATACGGCAATGCCCCATATGTATACATTTTGTTCTGCCTTTCAATAGAAGCCTTCGCTATTCCCATGGCTAATTCATACCCCTCCCCCAACTCTCTCCTCTGCCTTCCCACCCTCCCCCCCTCAAAAGCGTCTGTAAAGCAGCTACAATCGCCGTTTCACCGCATGCAGAAAAAATGTGGGGGAAAAGGTGCTTTTATAAGCTCAATTTTGAACGAACGATGGCCAACCTCGAGGCAAGTGGTCCCACAGGGGCGATCGGGTTTCAATGCCAATGAACCGTGGCTCCTCCAAGACGACAACTCTCCTCCTCCCTCTCTCCGAGTCTTCCCTTGCCACACTTTGATGCCACCTGGTGACTGCATTTCAGCACAGCATGCAGTAAGAATATCTGCGTCAAGTTTACAACCTGAACAGCGGCGGTTAGTACGTGAGTAGGCATGTTTTCGATGACAAAGTGCATATAAGAAAATCACTTTTAAAAAAATCAAGCTCTGGAATTATGGCAGGATTTGTTTTATTCATAATCGGCTGTATGCTGTAGCTCTCCGATGTGTGCTTTTTGAATTGTGCCGCGTGTGTGTTTTTTCGCCACCGATGTCCGACGTTTCGCTCCACGTCCAGGGACCGAAGAAGAAGCTGCCGGCACACGAAGCGCGCGGTACAACCCGATACAGAAAAAAAAATGTCACAGAAGAGCTTCACCGGCACGGCCACGAAATCCAACGCGAGTTTGGGGGGGTGGCACGTTTTTGTTTTGTATTGGAGCAAACACATGCCACCCCTATTCACGCGCTGTCGGTAGGAAGGCGTCACACAAAGCGTCATCGCCAACAATCGCATTCCCAGCCAAGCCGAGCAGCAACAACAGAAAGATGACACGAAAACACAACAACAGCAACAACGCGACAAAAGGAGCCAAAACGAAACGGCGGCGTGTCTGCCACTCAATCGGCTCTTGTTGTGGACATTTAGAGGGGCGCGAAGGCGGCGTTTTTGTACGGCCACCCGTGGGAGTTCTTTGTGAGCTCCTCTCCGCCGCCGCACTGCCTGACCCTCCTGTGTGCGCCGGCCGAGGGCACGGGCGGCCGCCAGTCACAGCCACGAGAATGACGGCTCAATGTGCCCCGGGCCCCCCCCCACCACCCCCCCCCCCACCACCCACCCAGGCGTCAGCTGCAGGGGCTACCCGCCCGGGAGTCTCGGGACCACAGACGGACATCGCGAGCAACGTGCGTCATTTTAGCTGACAAGTAAAAAAGAATTTTTTTTTGGTGAAATGAATTAATGGGATTAATTATGCGGGTCTATCGGGCACGCTTCGAATCACACCAGAGGCACAGAAAGGGTGAGCACTGACGTGGCCAACGCACGTACACAGGTTAGGGATGTCCTGTTTGACTCAGGACGATGGTGGATGGTAGTGAGTGCATCTGCGTGGATATCTGCTCTGTGGGGATGGAGTGATGTGATTCGCTCGCGTGCTAGATATTTAGTCCTATATTATAATTGGTTCTTTACCCTTCTATCTGGCAACAAAACTGACACCTTTTTGCAAGGAGTCATGTTTGCATAGACCGCAATACCTGCAGTCATAATACAAACAAAAGAACATAACTCTGATAATGTGCACTGTCCCTGAAGTTGATTGGTCCACACCCGAGACAGCTTTCCTTCGAGCCTAGTCTCATATGGGTTGGACCAGATGACGCCAAAAGGCGCACAACTCAAGGACAATGCACCATCAGAGTATGAGAGCTCGGGGCAAGCATCTACACTATGGGGACCTCATTTGCCAGTAAAAATAGTGTAGATGCTTGCCCCGAGCTCTCATACTCTGATGGTGCATTGTCCTTGAGTTGTGCGCCTTTTGGCGTCATCTGGTCCAACCCATATGAGACTAGGCTCGAAGGAAAGCTGTCTCGGGTGTGGACCAATCAACTTCAGGGACAGTGCACATTATCAGAGTTATGTTCTTTTGTTTGTATTATGACTGCAGGTATTGCGGTCTATGCAAACATGACTCCTTGCAAAAAGGTGTCAGTTTTGTTGCCAGATAGAAGGGTAAAGAACCAATTATCATATTTTTACTGGCAAATGAGGTCCCCATAGTGTAGTCCTATATTTTTACACAAATGTATACAGTACGTAACAGGGAGGAGGACCCTTGCCCATGAAATGCTGGCAGTTTACCAGCATCGGTTTAAGCAACACTGACTGCTGCTGAGACAATGAATTTATTTAACCAATGCACTAATAGGCTGTATGGTTTATGGGATGTTTAAAAAAAATCCCACTTGTGTTTACCATGGAGAGCCAAATGGGACGGTGTATTATCAACGTATTTAAATTTTCTCCAGAATAATTTAATATGGGCCTGGAGATCTAAGTTGACTCCCAATGGGAATTTCCTTTTGTAAAGTTGGCTTTGAGAGTCGAGTGATATATTCAGAGCTGGGCTCTTCACCCGTTATCAGTTCCATTACACGATTAATTGGAAAACACACAAAAATTTGGCCGAAAAGTTCTCACTGCTCTTCCCATGTGTGCCCTCTGCCGTAGGACGAGAGGTGATGGGGCAAGGCATGCTGATGTTTTTGTCACCATCAGCTGTGTCATACTGGGCCTGACTTGTGGGGATTTCTTGTCTTTAAGGCAGGATATTGTGGCTGATACTGTTCTTAAAGGGGCCTGAATAATTATACAACAAGTAGGTAGTTGATGACAATTTCCAGTCGATTTAATCAACTTCATCGTTGAGTCTCTCCAACTCCAAATCTATCCAAAGCTCCACCCAGCCTTGATGAATATCACGCATAACACACGAATTGTTATTATTCGAAAGCCTGATTCGATTCACTTTATTAAAAACTATTGCACAACTGGAATCATCACCCAATTATAACGCACTTGCCATGTACGGCACCCCACACATACAAACGCCACCAACAGCCGGCTGTACTGACAATTGTAGTGAAGTATGGTAAAACAACCCCCACGAACAACACGGTATGGTCGGGGCATTCCTCCAGCAGTGGATTGACAAATGGCTGTAAATTATTGTTTGTTATTTTTTACGGTTTTAATTTACAGCGTTAGAATTGTCTTACAAATGAAGATGTCATCTTAATAGGTAATGGAACATGATGAAGCAAAGTGAAAGTGAGCCGAATGGCGTTAGCACTCACTATACATTACACACCTCACCGTGCTACGTTTTATCGCATTGTTTATTTATACCTGGACTTACCATGGGTGCTGAATCTTGCATTTCAAAGCACATTGCCGCAAAGCTAAATCGCCAGGTGCGATTACAATAAAAAAAATACAATTTGCATTTGGTAGTAAACAAGAACCAAATGATCTCAAAACTACATAGAAATTAAGCTTCAGTCCTACAGAGATATTACGCTTGCATAAGAGACCAATTGAAATCAAGATTCCTGTTACATGTACGATTATTTAAAAAAGTACCTTTGAAGCACCATTGCAAAATAAAAAGTACGTGCTTATTTCAGTAGGCGCATAGTAGTAGACATTGTAAAGCCACCTCAACATGTTTTGTTTTTACTTTGTAATTCGATCACAATTAATGGCCTCACACTACGACATTCTCTACACCTGTGCATCTTGTGTTTAACTCATTTCAACCGCCTCTCCATTCACTTTCTTTTTGCCAGAATGCTTTTTTCTGAAATATAACACAAGGGGAAGTCACATACACGGTTATTAATTTGCTGCTTAAGCGTTATGCATCAGTAAAAACAAGTTTGTTTATTAAATCCAAAAATTGAACGCATTTAAAGTTATTACTAAGTTTACATTTAAATTCACGAGGATGTTAAGACCAACATTAAATACAATTTCACAAGAACTGTTTAACATGGCAGACGGTGTATACTTTACATATCATCATCACTTGACATTTACACGGTCCCTCCCATGCATTACATCTCCAGGTACCATGTAGCAGGGGACCCCCAGTGGCAGCTGTCTCCGTGTGGCGGCACACGGTGTACAGAGCACTGGCCAGCCAGTGAGCATGAATCTGCCATTAGCGTGGGGTGATGTTATGTTATGCGGCTTCCCAATGTATAACATTTGGATCATATTTGCACCATATACTATACAGTACTCTGATCCTTATATTTCATTCAGCCAGGTCTTAGTACTCAGCAGTTAAGCCGATCTTGCCTGATGGGTGGTCATGAAGGAAAAGCCAAATTTTTTATGAAACTTACAACAGGAACACTTCGTTTTGAGTGTGGCTGTCTGAACTTTAAAGTAGATTCAATAATCTATGTCATCGTAACGTATGTCATCCTCACACTAGAGATTATCATTCAAAAATAACCTATAATGCTTTCTATTTATTCATTCATTCATTAAAAAACAAATTCTGGAGGCCAAACAGGGCCAAGGGTGGGACGGATAACGTATTGATTGTGTGTGATGTCAGTCAGTACACTCTGAGGATACAGTGTCAATGCAACTCGGTGGCACGGCTCAGCTTCTGCGGTAAAAAAACAACCTGGCATCTGCTAAGCCATGCCAGGCTGGCTCGGCACAACCACAATAGAGGTGAATGAGTCCAGACGAGAGAATGTTCTTACCTTTGCAAGAAGAATACAGTTAAGGTGGCGGCCACCGTAGCTGCAAACATACAGCCCAGGACAATCCCAGTGACAGCTCCTGATGCAAAACAATTCCAGCGTGAACGCAATGGAATTCGCGAGTCAGTTTGGTACAATGCGCATTATGTTATCTGTCTCGCCTGGTATGCAGGAGGGTCGTGGGTTCGATCCCGACCCTGATGCCAGCTGTCAATTTGGAGTTTACATTTTCTCCCCGTGGTGGCATGGATTTTTATACGGGCACTCCAGGGTTTCCCTCCACATTTAGAAACATGCGTTTCGATGATTTGGGCTGCTATACATTTCCACGTGATAAGCCACTTCGTTGCGCTATCATTTGTGTCCAGGTCGCTTCTGGAAAAGAGCTACACAGCTCAGTGGGCATTACCTGGTAAAATAAAAATATATAGTTGAACAGTTTACATATATTAATCCCACCACCATCAAATAACGTTGTGAACTACTTCATAAACAAAGTGTGCCGTGTCGTGTAAAGCGGAGATTCAAGACATTACATGCCAGTCGTATTTGTCATGGCTGAATATAACTTCTACGTGTACGGCAAGTCTTCTACAGTATTTACGTTGCTCCTATTTACTTTGTTTCAGGGACGTATCCCTCAAGTAAATGAAGAACTTGCCGTATATTTTTAAAAAAAACGCTTCTTAGCTCGATGAGCCGTACCCTAAAAAGACTGATTGCCCGATCTATGTGCAACACAAGTTAATTGTCTCATGCAGGTATCCTTTTAAAAAGTAGTCAAGTAGTGTGTACTAATGTAACGTAGCACAGCGTGGGGCTTCCATATTTTTTAAAAAGGTAAATTTTTTATGAAAAACAAACGCGATGCAAACGATCCACCAAGTAATGTGCATGACGCAAAAACACCTTGCCACCATCTTCATAAACACTGCCCCACAATTGTACAATAGCTTACGTTTCATGAGGTAAAGTCAAGTCCAATTGCCCACACCCCACCTCTCTCTGATTTTAAATCACCACATTAAGACGCAACTTAAACTGTGAGCTAAATTCATTTGTGAGCAGAGCAGCACGTACAGTGTATGCAATGTAAGCAGGCCCAACACCTGGCATTTTAAGATGCGATTCAGAGCATTGTGAAGAGTGTTCTTGATTGGGAGGTGGGAAGGGGGAGAGCTGCCATACCAAATACCAAAACAGTTGAGAACCATTACCGAGTTCTTCCCGTGAGGTGGCAGTGGTTGAAGTGAAAAAAATTAACCCGTAAAAACAAAGTTTTTCACTATAAATCCTTTATATGCGTGGCGGCTAGAGTCCTCTCGTCCTCTGCCTTGAGATGGCTGCCACCTTTTGGGTCAGATGATTGCCTGCCACCATTAAGCAATTGGTAATTAAATAAAACAAAAATTCCTAAAATGTTGAAAATTTTGGAGAAAAAAAATTCACGAAAATAAATTGTCACGCACAACGAGGCTGTGTGCAAAATGTCAGCTCGAATGGATCACGGGAAGTGGGTTAAAAAACGACCGAAAGATGTGCACGGTCGTAAGCGCGCAAGCAAGCAAGCAAGTGAACTTAATATAAAGGATTTAAAAAGCCCCACCCTGGATTTTCGCACGTGGAGCAAAACAACAACGAACACGGGGCAGAGTTGTTGTCTTTTTCTTCTTCTGTTTCTTCACCACACGGGGACATCGCAACACGAGGACACCTGCTCTTTGTCAGCTGGCCGTGGGTGGGCCCTCACAATCGAGTCGTCAATGAGGCGCGGGCGGTAATCCGAAGCCGGGAGCTTGTGTCAATGTATTGCCAGAAAGGGTAAAAACTATTCTTGTTTTTTTTTCATACTTTGACACCGGCAAAAAGGGTCCCGTTTTTTGTTGGCTTGTGTCAATATTTGCGGTTTGATGGGCGTATGTTGGTTGGGCCCACGTGGCTTTGACGGCGAGAGCTGAGTGGCACCATTATTTACACAGGGCCCACCATGGGTCTCTTACACCTCTCCCCTCCCTCCCGCTTCGAACGTGCACACAATTAACGAGGATTTTGTTCTGCTCACGACATGGCCGTCAACGTTGAAGCATTTGCTTTTCACTCATACGCAGAGTTAGAATGACTCTGACAAAATGTAAGAGTACAAAAAATAAACCGTAATGATATACAATTCGGAAGGATTGCATGTAGCTGCATCTGAAAATGCATTTCAATAAATTACTTGAAAATCAGAGTTTGGAGGGGGGTCAACTCAAACCTTTACACCTTCCAGGTCAATAAAATAGGAACTACTTTGTGGAAAGTCAACAGTGGTTGTTATTTTGTTCACGGGTTTTGTTTGCTTTAATCGCACACGTGATATTTCCCAGTTCATCCTCTTGTTGTGCAATTTGCCTTTTGTAACCCTGATCTCCCAAAAAAAAAGAGATGTGTCGTCTCAGTGGTCTCTCATCAGGCTGAAAATAAATGTACTGTATCTCTCTCTTTCTGTTCAGATATTTGTCACCAATGTTGGCGTTGAGGAGGAATGGAACTCAGGCAGCCAGGTTCAGAGAGCAGAGCGCTAACCACTACACCACCCACTCCCCAACAATGACTACAACAACAACAGACACCATTCGCCAATAAGCTGCAGTGATGTCACCATGGCGCTTGGGCCAGGCTAGGTGCACTTTGAGGCCACGTGACGTTTCAAAAGGCTCGCTGGCAGGAGGTCACAGGACACAGCCAGGTGCCATGGGTTGACTGACTGAGACGAGTGGCAGATGCACCACCTGTGCCCCCCTACTGTGCCAACTTGGCACAGCTGGCACAACGACTACATGTCACACTACCACACGTAGATGACACGTTCGTCATCTGGTCACATGGCCGACCAGCTCTGAACCAATTCCTGAACCACATCAATTCCATACACCCAGCCATCAAATTCACCATGGAGGTGGAACAGGATGGCAAGTTACCATTCTTGGATGTTTTAATTGAAAAGAGACCAGATGGCTCAATGGGACACTGTCTACAGGAAAGCCACCCATACGGATGCCTACCTAAAACCTGACTCCCACCACCATCCATCCCAGAAGAGTTCCCTCATCAAAACTTTACACCATAGAGCTAGATGTATTTACGACCGTCATAACCTAGCCAGTGAACTGGAACACGTACACCAAGCTCTCAAGATTAATGGATATTCAGACCACGCACTCCGTAAAACCATCACCTTGCCATACATAGCAGGGGTCACTAAAACAATTTCCAAAATCATGAGTAAACACAAGATCCAGGTTCGATTTAACACAGTACATAAAATTCGTGATCTGATCCCATCTGTGAAGGATGTGATCCCTGACATGCAATACCCCGGCGTCTACAAACTAAGCTGTGTCTGCGGCAGTAGTTACATTGGGGAAACTAAGCGACATGTCTCGGACCGTTTTCGTGAACATAAGGCAGATCTGAAACACTGCAGGTCCAATACCTCAGCCGTGGCTGATCATTGTTTCAATGCGGTGGGCTCACACGAAATTGATTTTTCTAAGACGAAGGTACTTTGCAAGCCCACTGGCTCTCAACAAAGATTCGTTCAAGAAGCCATCCATATATATAGACACAGACACAATTTCAACCGAGAAGATGGGTACAAACAGCAATCACTGGAAGGACGTTATTAACCAGTTTAAGTCATAACTGGCTGTGATGTTTCCATCCTACCACCTTCCGATGTTAGTAGTTATTTTCGACTCTCTGGTTTTACATTAACAGGTTAATTGTCTCACTAACACAGCCACCGTCGCTCGTGTCCTCGATCTGGCGGTGGCTCTGCGATCTTACATTGACATGCTAATCTCTTACATTGACATGCTAATCTCTTACATTGACATGCTAATCTCTTACATTGACATGCTAATCTCTCACAATACAATGGCCACCTGCGTGCCTTCGTCGTCATGGAGGTAGCTCTTCGATCTTACATCAACATGCAAATTTATCACATTAACATCACGAGCCCAGGCGACTTCGTTTATGACCCTTGGGCTACACCCATTTCAAACCTTTAAAACAGCATGCTTCAGCACCTTTCCCGCTCGATTTTCTCCTGATGACGGTTGCTTGCATTGCGATCGAAACGTCGTAGTTTTTTGTTATTTTTGTGATTTTCTTTTAACCTATCTACGTGACTTTAGCAAAAGACCCAAGAATATGAATTCCTGCAGTCACGAAAGCTTTAAGTCAATACACTCACATAGTCTGGTCATACACGTGTGAATATAAGACGTGCCAGGGTTAACGTTAACGAATTGGAGTGTCACGTATTTTCATCAGATTTAGAGGCATGCATACGATAGAGTCCAAGTGACCCTGGAGGGGTGTGGGCATTTTAATAAACTCTCTGCCACGCCGGGAGATCGAGCGGCGAGACCTCTGGATTGCAAGTCCATTGCGCTGACCAACTTACCAACCACGGCAGCGACCACGGATTTCTTTTTACGATCAGATGCTCGGTTATTCGGCACTTTGCTTTGATCATCATGTCGTTTTTTGTCTTTTTCTTCACTGCTTTGTGTGCCTCCCCTCCCCCCATCTCTCCATACGACGGGAGTACACGATCTGCAGGTGACAGTGAGCGCTCACAGCTGCCAAGAGAGGATCCCCCTCGAGCGAGGAATTTAAATGCTGCATGGAAATTTAGGGCCACGAATTTGGCTGCGACGCTGGGCACGCGGTGGCGGTGGTGGAGGTGGTGGGGGGGGGGGGCGGTGGGGGCGGTGGGGGGGCGGTGGGGGTGGGGGGCGGTGGGGGTGGGGGGGGCGGTGGGGGCGGTGGGGGGGTGGGGGTGGGGGGCGGTGGGGGCGGTGTGGGTGGGGGGCGGTGGGGGGGCGGTGGGGGCGGTGGGGGGGTGGGGGTGGGCGGTGGGGGTGGGGGGCGGTGGGGGGGTGGCAACTCTCGCGATGCTTTTGAATGCCTTTGTTGAAGCAGACGGCGCAAGTTGAAGCAACGCAACGCCCCCTAATTTGTGAGTGCCTGCGCGCATTCCCATTGTGTGGGCTCGAAACGCGTTGTTGACCTTCGCGAAAAAAAGTGAATTTTTTTTTCGCAGACGGAGGGTAGACTCGCCTTGAGACACGAGGTGCTTGACGTTTCATTGGGAAAACACAGGCATTGTCTAGCAACTTGCCTTCAACTTTAATTGGGCCGGGCATGTCACGTTGCCGTGAATACTATTAAGCAATGTAATAACCCGTAACTTATACTCTCATTTGCATTTTCCATGCACTCTATGCCAAACTGACTGCTGTTCAGCTACGCGCGAACGTAACAGAAATGCCAACGCCTCCACTCACCAAGCACCCGTGCATAACGCAGCGTTGCCTAACATCTGGCTTTGTGAAAAACCCTGCGCATTTTACGTCCAATTAAAACCACGCGTGGGACAGTTTCTTAAAAAATTAACCCGTAAAAACAAAGTTTTTCACTATAAATCCTTTATATGCGTGTTCAATGGGACACAACCCAGCCCACATTGGTCTTTGAAACGGGCGGCTAGAGTCCTCTCGTCCTCTGGCTTGAGATGGCTGCCACCTATGGGTCAGATGATTGCCTGCCACCATTAAGCAATTGGTAATTAAATATTTAAAAAAATTTCACGAAAATAAATTGTCACGCACAACGAGTCTGTGTGCAAAATGTCAGCTCGATTGGATCACGGGAAGTGGGTTAAAAAACGACCGAAAGATTTGCACGGTCGTAAGCGCGCAAGCAAGCAAGCAAGTGAACTTAATAAAAAGGATTTAAAAAAAGCAGTCAGCCATGCTTTTGTTGATGATCAAGAAAATACCATGAAGTACAATCACGTGCCTTTGAGCAAATAACCCAGAACGCCACCGATCTCATCAGATCTGGGAAACTAAGCAACATTGAGCCTGGATAGCGCTTGAATGGGTGGCCATCACTCATCGCTGCGTTTGAGTTTCAGCCATCCGTTATTTAAGAAGCTATGTTCTCAGTTTTTAGCAAGTAGATGGTCTCAGCCTGGTCACTGTTGACTTCACAATAAAACAAAGAGATATCGATGCCACGTCATATTTGACCTCGCATTTTCTTTGGCTACAATCAAGCTCGAACAGTGAAAAACATGTTTTGATCGTCATGCAGCAAACACAAATCGGACAGCAGTGTGTGTGAAAGTGCAGCCCCTGCTGCGCATTACAGTGTTTCTCTAACTTTCTTTGCCAGACGACTACCCAGCCGATTAAAATGTTCTATTTTACCAGGTAAGGCCCACTGAGCTGTATAGCTCTTTTTCAGAAGCGACCTGGCCACAAATGATAGTTCAACGAAGTGGCTACTCATGTGGAAATGTAGAGCAGCCAAATGCTCTAGGCGCTTGTTTCTAGATGTGGAGGTAAAAACCGGAGGACCCGAAGAAAAATCCACACCACCACGGGGAGAGAGACACGGAAAACTCCAAATATACAGGCACCAGGGTCGGGATCGAACCCACAACCTCCTCCATACCACCCAGCCCATCCCACTCCTGGTGACAAAACGCATTCACATCTCTCTAAATACCGATAATACAAAATGATTCATATTACCGTAAAAAATATTTTTTTTAAATGATGATATAAGTTTTTTAGGGAGGGAGGGAGGGGGCATTTCGATTTTATGGTTCGGTTTATTTTTACCAAAATTAAGATTTTACCAGGGTAGTTTACCCAACTTCATTTTAAAATAAATTATTATGAATAAAAAATAGTTTAATGTCCGAAATAAAATGTATGAACATTGTCATTATTGTCCACATCAACCTGCGTTTGCATCACAGCCTCGCGGACCACCTGGAGGACCGTCGCAGACCACACTCTGAGAACCACTGCTGTTAAGTTTGTTGTCTTTCCTCCCGCACTACGATTATCACGGTTGGCTGCATACGGTGTGAAATAAGTTCAACATACGTACAAAGGAAAAAAAAGCTGTTCCAAGGGTTTTTTTTCTCTCCCCGAGAAATCCATTCTTAGGCTCACGTGGTACACACTGCACTGTGAGATTTTCCCAAGGCATACATGCCGTATTAGATGTTGTTGCTGATAGCGAACTTATAATAGAATTAAAATGAAAACATCAAGTACCTGTGTCCAATCCAGAAGGGGCCGACGAAGCAGCTGATTTCTCCAGCATGGTTTTCGTCGCTGAAACGCCCACACACAGTCACAATCAGGACTCTGATTAACGCACGTAAGCAGACACACTGCGCTGCAACACTTGGGCCTGCAATGTTTAAGAATGACCCATATCGCTAAGTGGCAATGTTAACGAGTTGCTATTGGTGTTTTTACTCATATGCAGTAGTCAGGTCAACGTATTTCTACTCATCTCCCCTGCTGGGACGGAGCCTGCAAGCAAAACTTCACATTTCTATGCCATGGTCAGTCGTTCCCACGAAGCGGTAATAATTATATCAATCCTTGCTTAGATGGTAGTAGGTTGAGTCAACTTGTGAATGGAATTTGAACTCGTACATTTTGAGTCAAATAATCTAACCACAACTTCATCCAGACTTTGGTGATTATTAATAGAAAACGCGTTGCTTTATGGCCTCATGTTTTTGCAGAGATAGAATGAATACGGGGGCTATAAGTACATAAAGTGAGATGGGTGGTTCAGGGGGCAAAGGTAATTTGTATTTAGCTCGTCAGCACCTCCACGATCACGTATTCATCAGCACTGAGCTCTGTTGTGGATAACACTTTAAAAGTAATGGAGATTTGCCACCTTGATCTGAATCTGTTAAAAAAATGACAAACTAAACTATATTTATTTGACCAGCTGAGGCCCACTGAGCTACTGTATATAGCTCTTTTTCAGAAGCAGCCTGGACAAAAAGAATAGCCCAATGAAGTGGCTTATCATGTGGACATTTATAGCAGCCAAATACTCGGAACGCATGTTGATTCTAAATGTGGAGAGAAAAACCGGGGGTCCTGGAAAAAAAATCCACGCGACCACGGTTAGAACATGCAAACTCTAAATATACAGGAGGTGTAAGGGTTGGGATCGAACCCACGACCTCCTGTATACCAGGTGAGGGAGTTAACATCTAGCCATCGTGACACCTCAATCTGGCCAGGGAGTGCTGTGGCAGAGTGTTTTGGAAGGTGACAGTTACAAATACCTATCAAGTTCTGTTCAAATCCAGCCAGTAAACTGCTCAGGACATGGCCTAGCAGTTGTTGCAGAGGTTTTACGATTAGAATTCGTGCCATCCGCTGCACAGTTCACGTCAAAGATCCCCTTACATTATTCGCAAGAGTAGACTATTGTGTGCTGGCGGCATGGTCCGAATTTCTGTCAAATTAAAACAATTACTCGCAAATCACTCAATTGCGATTATACGTCGCAATCATTGTCGCCTCCTGTGAAACTTCGGCACAATCCTGAAAAAAGAGTCCGACTCGGCGAGGCTTTGCTGGGTAAGCAAGCGTAATTAAATACAAAAGTACAATAAGAGGAATTATAACTACAAGAAAAATGTAACACAAATATGTGGAGAAGCAACAATGGTCACCGTGTGGACAAACCCATTGTGCTTGTCATGTGGATAGGGAATTGCCATGACTGGATAAGGAGCAATTGCCAACAAGGAGCACTGGACAATGCTCAGTGTCTTTCACTCATATTCTTGAATAGAAATTAAAAGCAAAAAACCCACGACATTTCGATCGGAACACGTGCTTTTTTTTTCGTTTTTCTTTTCTTTCCACCTGAAGAAGACCGCTTGTGTGGCGATCGAAACGTCGTGGGTTTTTTTGCTTTGAATCTTGATTTTTGTTTTCTATCTACGTGAAAGAACCAATGATATGAATCCCTGCAGTCACGAAAATTTTAGGTCTGTCTTTCACTCGTTTACCGAAAGGCACTACATCGAAACAAAGATGCGATAAGAATCGTCTCGGTGGTAGGTAGATGTTGCACCACAAGACAATGAAGGATGGTGACGGTTTGGGCAGGCCTTCACTCAGCAGTGGATAGATCATGGCTGATGATAATGATTACGACGACAATCTAGCTTCCATTATAGACCCGCTGCTCTTATAAATCCGACTACTTGAAATCTGTGAAAAAAGAGCGTTATAGCTCATCGGATTCCTCCAGTATGAATACATATTCTGATTCTGAACCTATCCCACTGGGAAAAGTCATCTCCAGCTTCAACAAAGGCCACCATCTATTTATTCTGATGACACTCAGCTCGACGTGTCCATTTTACTTCAGACCCACCCCTCACTGTCCATTTTCACTTCCAGCCTTGACGCAGCCTCGTCTTGCATTGCGTCAAACCTTCTCAAGCGAAGCACATCCCCAGTGTGAAGCCCTCACCAGCAACAATTGTTGTGTCTCGATTTAAAGCGTTCGTGAATGCAGGGATTCATCTTCTTGGTTCTTTCGGTAAAGTCACGTTGTGGCCGAAACGTCGTGAGAATTATTTTATTATGTTTTATTTTTATTATTTTATTATTTCCATTCTACGTGACTTTACCGGAAGAACCAAGAAGAAGAATTCTTGTGTCTGTAAAAGACTGCAGTTTGAGAGGGAAGGCACTCTGAACCATCACGCTGGTGGACAGGATGCACAACCATCAAGTCGTCATTGATACTGAACTCTGATTCTTGTTCCCCCATCTCCAAACTTCGTAGGTTCCCCGAGCTCTACCTGTATGACATCTCCCACACCCGTGAATTCCTCGCTCCAGTTGCTGCTGAGATCCCTATCCACATGCCTTCGTCACTTCTCGACTGGACTTCTGAAACTCTGTTCCACTTTGGCGTCACCGCGTAACCCTCCCATCCAAATAATCTGTTACAAAAAAATGTATTTTAATCATGAAAACTGGACCAGTTTTTTTTGTCTTCCCGAGTTTCATCGGCAGTCAAGTGTAATGTTCCACCAAGAGACTAATGCGTTCGTAAAGTGGCGTCTAGCTCTGTGATTGGGGAATGAACCTTATGGTGGTACCCATAAGGGGTACCATAGCACCTCGGCTCTCGCACAATGTCCGTGATGCAGTCATTTTTAGTGTGTTGATGGTCGGCGATGCGGCAATCGACTCATCTCGACGAGCTGTACACGATGCACCACCACTACGGTGCGTACCGCGAGCGTTCAGGGTTTCAGCGCAATCGTTCTCGCTGCGTTTCGACAGCGCGGAGTGGCACTGATTTCGGATTGATTGGTTACCCCAGTCGCGGAGTGAAGTACACCCCTGGAAAAAATATTGTCCCATAAATAAAATATTTAATTGTCTCGGACATTTTTTACCCCGGGTACCGCCATAAGGATCAAATGTACATCTTGAATGCGAGTTCTACTCCGCACCCACGGTTGCCTCACCTATTGGCACAGACATTGGAAAGAGTGAACAACCATAACGTTTAATGATTAAGCATTACGATCACGCCACGGTTTGAGCAACGTGTGTGTAGATATGGGCAAAGCCATTGGCAAGCTTAACCGGTTCACAGCGTGTCGTTGAAAAGCCATGACAAAGGTTTTAAGAAGCCCTGCTCCTTCGTCTGGACAGACTGGTCCTTGCCATAGTAATGTAGAATTTCCGCCACTGGTTCTGGGCCACCTATGAAGAAGAGTGCACGCTCACGCTCATATAAGCAGGGAGACTCTGACTTCAATTCTAAACAACCTATTATATTGCTAATACTGTGTGCTAAAATAAGTCAATGTTCATCATCATTATGAGTAGCCATGGTCAATCCACTGCTGGATAAATGCATCCCCAAACCTCCACTCTCTCTTCATCCTGCAATGTAATAATCCACCTAGCACCTATTTTTATTCTTAGGTTTTTTTCGGTAAAGTCACGTAGGTAAAAATTTTAAATTAATAAAAGTAAAATAAAAATCACGACGTTTCGGAGGCAACACAAGCTTCCGTCTTCAGGTGGAACAGTCACAGCATGATAGCTGTATCAAGTGAGAGAAATTCCAAGAAAACCGTATTTTTGTATATATACTGGTTGAGGGTGGGAGGAGCCAAGGTAGGCCCTGAATATTATTTTTGTGAGGTTCGGTGCGGCTGAAGCACCGGATTTCATTGCTCCATATAAACTAAACTAAAAAATGTTTTACCAGTTCAGGCCCACTGAGCTGCGTAGCTCTTTTTCAGAAGCGACCTGGCCACAAATGATAGCCCAACGAAGTGGCTTATCACGTGAAAATGTATAGCAGCCAAAGACTCTAAATGCATGTTTCTAAAAGTTGAGGGGAAAAAAAAACGGAGGATCCGGAGAAAAAACCACGGCACCATGGGTATAAAAACATGCAAACTCCAAATATACAGCAGGCGTCAGGGTCGGGATCGAACCCACGTCCTCTTTCATACCAGGGAAGGCAGATAACATCTCGCCACCCTGGTGGATGTCCTCTTGGACGCGTTCAATTCCTTGGCTGCTACTTTAGCACTATTCTTAACCATCGTTTGTAGCCGCGTGTCTTGCCCAAGCCCATTTACTCTTCTGAATGGTTTGAATTGTGTCTTCAACCTGCCTATGTACAATCGACTCCATCACTACATTCAAGTCACAACTAAAAACACATCTCTGTACGCTTGCATACAACACCTAACTTCCAGCCACAATTATCTTTAATGTTTTTAATGTTTATGGGTTTCATGATGCGACGAATGCGCTTTGGGTGGCACATTTGTGTTAGAAAGGTGCCACGTGTTAACCAAAAAGAAATTTACATTCTAGATTTGAGGCTTTCGTGACTGCAAGGATTCATATTCTTAAGTTTTTTCGGTAAAGTCACGTAGGTAAAAAATAAAAATTAATTAAAGTAAAATAAAAATAAAATAAAAATCACGACGTTTCGGAGGCAACACAAGCTTCCGTCTTCAGGTGGAACCGTCACAGCACGATAGCTGTATCAAGTGAGTCACGATAGCTGTATCAAGTGATTTTTATTTTATTTTACTTTGTATTAATTTTCATTTTTTACCTACGTGACTTTACCGAAAAAAACCTACGAATAATAGAAATTGACATGCCTCGACTATGATCTCGAATTGACGCGTTGTTCCTCTTTCTATCTCTCCGTCTAATTCAAAGATTGCATCTCCCCACGCTTCTTTGCACACTTATCGTTTAAGTGCTGTTGCTCCATTGCTATTGTTAAC